TCTAAAAGTTCTGGCCACTAGTGATCAAAATCTGTCTTTTAGGGGTCTTCTTGCTCAGCTCAAGAGCACAAGTGAGGAGTAGCTTAATTTTTCTTTAGTTGTAGGATAAAGGAGGGCAGCTCTATACACTTATATGGAAAGCATTAGGGAAGTTTTGCAGCTGTGAGTACAAGAAGCCCTCATCTCCACACAAACACGTATTTTGTGCAAGCAGTGAAACTGGAGGCGGCAGGAAAGGGGGAGATTATCTCAGTCCACTTAGTGCTTTAGAAACAAAGTGAATGTTTGGTAGAAGTCATGCTCTCCATGAACAGCAGAGAGCAGAGCTTTTAGGGGTCTGTGCTGACTTTGGCATGTGTTGCTGAGGAACACGGCCCAGCCAGATAGCACTGCACTGATCCAAAGTGAGTGACATAGTTGTGCAACTATGGCCAGGAAGAAATTCAGTCTCTTAATCATAGAATGGCAGAATGGTTGGGTTGGAAGGGACCTCACAGATCATCCAGTTCCAGCCCCCTGCCATGGGCAGGGACACCCTCCACTACACCAGGGTGCCCAAAGCCCCATCCAGCCTGGCCTGGAACACTGCCAGGGATGGGGCAGCCACAGCTTCTCTGGGCAACCTGGTCTAGTGCCTCAGCACCCTCAGAGGGAAGAATTTCTTCCTTAGATCCCATCGAAAACTGCCCTCTTCCAGTTTAAAGCCATTGCCCCGTGTCCTGTCACTACACACCCTTGTCCAAAGGCCCTCTTCAGGTACTGGAAGTTGCTGGAAGGTCTCCCCAGAGCCTTCTCTTCTCCAGGCTGAATTACTGCACTGCTGAGAGAGGTCCAGAGGAACTGCCCAATTTGCCGGTGTAGCCTCCTTTGGAGGCACCTTCTCAGCTGTGTGAAGACCCAGTGCTGCACCGTGGCCTCAGCAGAAGACTGGGGAAACTTGCACAGTCCAGAGCTGCCACTGGGCCTGGAGTGGTCAGCCCTCTAACTCACCTGGTACAGAACCTGGGGCAGGTGCACACTCCAAAAGGGACAGGACTCTCAGAGAAAAAGATGAGTGACTACCAAGGGCTGAGCAATACCACCCGTGAAAGGAGTCAGACAAGAACATACGCATCAAATAACGTACAACTGCCTGAGAATCCTCAAACTGCATCTCTGCTAAAGTCAGCCTGGCTTTGGGGATGACACCTTGGACCTGGGATCTGTCTCATGACAGCAGGTTAAAGCTCAAACATGTCAGTACTTGCTAGCTCCCCACACGCAACTCAAACGTGACTGCAGGTATCTGCTTCATTGTCTTTATGTAAAACTAAAAAAAAATTAAATTACAGACATCTGCTCAAATCAGCTGTCACAAATGCAATCAGTTAATGACTAACACAGACAATAGCAGAAAGGCACCTCATGGTCCTGGGCACCTGGCTCTGCCTGAGCAGGGGGCTCGGACAAGATGACCTCCAGGAGGTCCCTTCCAACCTCAACCACTCCGTGATTCTGTGACAAAGCAGCTTAAATGAAATGAGGTTCTTTTAGGAGGGAGTGCCACCTCCCCATGGCACTCAAAACTTGGTGTTCTCTTACTACACGATATTACTTCACAGTTAATCTACAGCAGAGTTACAACATATGAGAATTGTCACCACAGCTGCTGCTTGGGGAGGATGCTGGGTACATTCCAGTTCTAAGTTCACATTCGCTCCAATCCGCAATTTCTTGGCAAACATTTCTATAGTTTTTTCTTCCCTTTTAGTTCTCATCTTTCACTTAAAAATATTTCAGGATCAATTAAGGTGAAGATGTAGTTGCTTTATTTTTGCAAAGGTTTTGTCATTCACTTTAAAACCATCTGGACCAACTTTTTCCACAATTCCACTTGACTGAAGTCTCCAATAAACCCCCAGTTATACGGCATAGCTGTCCCACACAGACAAGGCCTTTGAAGAGGACTTCCTCAAATCATTCAGCCTCTGCTCTGAAGGTCATCACTTCACGTGCCAGCACATCCCTCAAACCAAGCCGTAACCGCTCTAACAGGTGGTTCAGCATGCAGTTTATACCTGAATTTCGTAAACAGGTTTGGAGGAAGGAATAGCAGCAAACTCCCGGTAGTCAAACTTCTTTTCAGACATGGACTAGAAAGGACAGCAAAAGAGAAGAAACAGAGAAGAGAGAGTAAGGGGAGAGAAATGGATGGAAAAACAGCAGCAAGCTGAGCAATCCATGCAGAGACAAAAGCAGAAGCAGAGCATCATTCTCAGTTAGTGCCAAGAGTGCCTGGATACAGCCTCTGAAAACGAGGCACCTCTGGGACATTGTCCTTTTAGCTGTTCTGGTGTCAGGACAGGGGCTCCAAGTTGCAGAGAAAACATTACGTGCTCCAGTAAACTGCGTATACATGTCAAGTGAAGTAAGACACCTGGTCTCGTGGGAAAATTTGTGGCAAGATTCCTGATGGCTCTAGCAGTCAGGATTTCGATCCAGAATTGGCTGCATTGTGTGACCTTGGGCAAAATCAGGTTCCCTCTCTGTGCCGCTGCTCCCACTCTTCTGTTTGTCAGTCTTACTAATTTTGACAGTTCTCTGCAACAATGTCCTGTTGCCTTTATACAGTGCTTAGAAAAAGGAAAATGCCGATTTCAGCTGAACTTCTCAGTTTCATGCTATTTAGCAAACAAGGGGCCAAAGTCTCTGAAGTGAAAGGCTTTCTGAACATGGAGATGGAGCAAACAAACCACAAAAGGGATGAAATAATAAACCAGGGAAACCGAAAACAGATGTTACATTGTAGAGGTGAAAAAGAGGGGATGTCTCTAGCAATGGGCATGGCAGAGCTCCATCCACTGCGCTCTTCACAGTTCTGTACATCATGCCACCAGACCTGGCTTCAGTATTTAAGCAGGGATCCCATGGCCCAGATGCAGTCCACACCCAAGCTGAGTAACAGAGAAATCCCAGGATTACAGGCGAGATAACAAAAGCAAGCAGAAGCACGTCATACCAGCCTTCCCGGTGAGGTGACGTTTCTGGGACTGCAATCTGCAAAACAGGGCAAAACAGCACTATTTAGTGAACGGCTGTATCACACGCGGCGCTTCCCCGAGCGCTGCCCCGACACTGCCCCTGCCATTTAGCAGCACTTAAACGTGACGACGGACTGCGTTCAGGAAAGACACTGCCTTCTCACAACACAAGTCTCCTTCCCGCCTTTGTAGTCATGATGCTGGTTTTATTTCTGCTCTGCTTTCCTGGAACCACACCTCAGATGTGCTCTCGTGTTTTCTAGCGCTCAGGCCCATCCCCTATGCTGAGAGGTGTCATACGCCCCAAAGGATCTTCCAGTCTGGGCTGAAGGAAGAAACTGCTTTCAACAGGTCTGCCTTCAAACACGTGAAGCTAGAGAGCCATTCACTTTTTTCCCCAAAGACAGCAATGCAGTACCTTCCAGTGGCGTTGGCGACGGGGTAGGAGCAGGTGAAGGTGACTCCGCCAGCTGCTCCAGCGTGCTGCGCTTCTTCCCCTCCTTGGACTTGGCAATAACCATTTGGGCTTTAAGAGCATCCTGTTCGAGCGATTTCATCCTGCCTCAGAAACGAGGGAGGGAGGAAAAACCATCAGACATTGCCTTCTCTGTCAGAGACAACGCCGCCTTCTGCGCCCAGCAGCCAGCCCGCGGTCACCGGGCTGAGCGCGGAAGGCGGGCAAGCACCCGCGGCTCCCCGGGGCAGGCAGGCTTCAACGGGCTGCGGTCACCCCGAAACACGCATGCCATCACGTGTTGGAGAGACAGAGTCGGGAGCCAAGCACCAACGCACTGAGAAGCTGCAGGCCTTTCCAGAGGTGCCGCATCCGATGGGAGAGCAGCCCAAGCTGGGAAAGGAACTGCAGGGGCTCAAGCGAGCAGGATCAGTTCTCAGGGCTTTACTCTCCTCTGTGCTCTCAGCGTGTTGCTGCTTCACCCTCTGCAGCCATCAGGAGATTATGAAATAGCTACGAAAAAGGGGGCTCGGCCCTCGGAAACGTCTGCTCCCTTCTCCCCACCACACTCGCCCAGCATCCCCCCGACTCGTCGAGACAACTGCCGGCAGTCTGCGAATGTCAGGGAATCGAACACCAGCAACCGCTGAAACGTCCTCCCTGCCCCTGGCAGGCCACGGCTGGCAGCACCGCGTCAGGGACGCAGACGGGACCGCTGAGCATGCAGCTGGCAGGGAGGGGGCTGTGCACACCTGGATTGGCTTCCTGACCCAGGGGTTCTCGAGGCGTGACTCTGCTTGGGACTAGGCATCTGAGCTGGCCTGGCCCCGGGAGCAGGTGCCCACTGTCGGGACTGGTACAGCTTCCTGGCCAGATCCTGCTCGTACTGTTTAATACTGTCTTCAAGAGTTGAGGATCTGAGGAGGAGGAGGAGGAAGAGGAGGAGGAAGAGGAGGAAGAGGAGATGATGGTGATGAACATCGCAGTGGACAAGCGCAGGGAAAGAAACAGACAGATACAGGAACATACCCTGGCAAGGAGAAATATGGGTCTGATATAGGGGTAGCCTTGAGTAGAACAGGCTCCTATATCTGATCCTGTCCAACACCAACTGCTGCAGAAGAAGCAGGCGCCTCCAGCGGGCAATCTGGGATGACGTGCCCAGAAGCATTGGCCTTCGGAGCCTCAGCCCCTGGAGTCTGCCCTCCTCATGGGCTAGCAGGAGAGGACTGGACGCACCCAGCGGACCAGTGGGAAGGCCCAGCAGGTAGTTACAAAGAAGCGTGTGTATGTGAAGCACGGGTGAGTGTGCACACACATCCGATCGTCTCTTAGTGTACGTTTACACAGGTGTATCTGACCACCTGCTGGCATGCACCTTTGGCCACGAGAAAAGGGGAAGCCAAATGGACAAGCACATTACAAAAGGTCTGTTTGCCACAGGCCCCGGAACACATGCGATCGAAGAGGGAGCGCGTCCGTAAAACAGCCTGTGCATGGTAGGAAAAGTGCCAAGATGCATACAGCCCTTGTGGGCACCTGCCCCTCAGTACGGGCCTGTCCTTTCTCAACCACACTCTTCCTACGGCACGAACGCCAGTGGCGTGTGTGCTCAGGACACCCATGTAGCGTGGGTCCCAGTCTGTTTGTCCCGACAGAGCACGGGGGGCGGTGCTGGGGGGGGCGGAGGGTGCACATCACGCGTCCTGGCAGAGCACTGATGACACAGGGAGAAAAAGGAAAGCCCAAGAAGGTGCAAACTGATGGGGTCACGAGTGACAGCACACAGACCAGAGAACTGGAAAGAAGCAGAAGATAGAAGATTAGAAGGAGTGTAACAAACTCAGTGGCATGCACTTAAAGAAAACACAGGTTAGTGAGGCTGCAGCACCGCGTGCGGGGCAGCGCAGTCCTGCCCCACAGCACACGCGGGGCTGCCCGGGGACCGCTGGAAGTCAGACCTGCGCCCTGGCTGCCAGCATGTCACTGTGCTGCTCGAGCACTTACAGAAGATGGGCCTTAGGAAGACCAGACCATCCTGGGAGACCTGTGGTAGCAGGGAACAGTCCATCCCTGTCTTACGAAAAGGAGCACACTATGGTGACTGACTGATTCCTGCCAATGCCAAAATAAGCAAGGTCCTCACCCTACCCAAGGAACGAGCCCGGCACTTCTACAGGAGCTGAATAAAAAGCTACACCTTGGTATCAGAAGCAAAGTGAGAACCTGGTCTGCTGAGCTTACAAACAATCACACCGGATCTGATAACTGAAAAGCCAGACAGCTGCAAGTACCTTCTGCTTGCTGTATATTCTTACCTCTAAAAGGCTCTGCCTTCACTAGATCGCTTTCCACGAACAAAACACGCTTAGAAGAGACGGGACTGAAGTCTGGGATGCAGCAATCTCTCTGCTGCCCATAGTGGACAAAACCACTGTACTCGACAGCCACCAACCCTTCTACAGTGTAACGTAAAACTTTTTCTGTGCCCTAAGCAACTTCAACCCAAAAGCAGTCAGGTGTACAGTAACATTACATGGGCAAATGATGTGATCACCTAAAAAAATCCTGCCCTCCCCCCGGCAATTTTCAGATTTCTTTGTCTGCTGGCAACAGCAAGAAGCTCCTGGAAGAACACAGCATCCTGAGGCACGTGGTGCACTGTGACATGAGCAATGTCCTCCTAATGGCTTTGCTGTCAGAGGTTTGAGCAGGACACGTCATGCTTCTCCTTTATACGCCCATCTTAAACAAAGCTTTTATTACAGCGCTCCTTGGCTATGTCCATGCGTGGGCTTAGGAGGAACCAGGGCTGAGGTTACCTCACAAAGCCTGCCCCAGCCTATGAGGAAATACGCATGGGAAGAGGAGGTGTGAGGGAGAGAAAATCCTGCGTATCCAATGGGGAAGGGATGACAGATCAGTCTACCACCTCTCCAAGCACAGTGATGTCGATGTGCAGGAGGAAAAGCCTGACAGACAACCTCTGTTTTGTTGGGCCAAATAAAACAGCGGAGACTTTTTTCTTTAGGTGCAAAGATTGAGCAGCAACTCTGTGCAAGATGTCAACTCCTGACGATACCCCGGTGCTTGCACAGCATCACATTGACAGTTTTTAATGTATTCAACACTCAGAGCCTTCCTGGGAGACAGAGAAGTGCCCCTACAGTCCTCTCTCTGTGCATCTGCAGCACAGAGGGACTCAGTGATCTATCCACCATCACAAGGAAGTATATGCCAGAGCAAGAATTCGGATCTGGTCACCTCAGTCCCAGCGATGGTCTGGAAGCACATGTTTGGCTCTACAACACCTACCCAGCTTGTGGCCCTATAGACAAGGGCAATGCATCTTTTTTGGCAGGCATTGTTCACAAATTCTCTTCCACTTGTATTTTCGTAAAAGGGCTGTTCCTGGCTTAATATGAAAATACAGAACTTCCATTTGCAAATGATGCCACCAGGAAAGTTGTGCCACAGGAGCCATGGGAACAGCATCAACTAGAACAGGCACGAGATGCCAACTACAGCAGCACGTTCAGTGAATCAGAGCAGCAGACAGAATCCTGCAGTATTTGGAGCATGAAACAATAGCACAGGCTGGAAAAAGTCCTGCCAGAGCACACTGGCTGTGCCTGTCCGCCCGCATCCCCGTTAGTGGGGAGCTGGGGAAGGAGAGATTGCGAAGTACAGTCTCACAGAGTAATTCAGGCTGGCAGGGACCTCTGGAGGTCATCTGATCCAAAAGCTGCTCAAAGCAGGGCCAGCTTCAAAGGTCTAACAAACATGCTACAAGACAACAGAAATCCATCACTTCCAAATCAGGGTTCCATCTCACAAATAGGCTGTCCAGTGACCTGTTCAGCTTTCTGACATTACAGGTCAGTGCAGTGGAACTAAGGCAGTGCTTCAGAAAAAAAACCTCCAGCTGAGACAGACCAGGCAAAGGACTCATCCAAGGCAAAGAGCTGGAGCACACCAAGAAAGTTTTTCTTGACAGGCAAAAGCCCTGGTACTAGGAACATCAGTCCCGCTCTAAAGAAACCACAAACAGATCTGTTATATGATCAAGTAACAACGGGAAGCTTTGCACCCTCAAAGCCCTGGATAATTAGCCAGCTCTCACTGAGGATTCCACTACGTACTTCTTCATCCTCAGAGTCTCCCCAGAAGGGGACAGCACTATTACCATGCATGTCTAAGCACAAACACTGCAATTCCCAAGTGGTAAACACTGGAATTGCCACGTAGTATCACAACTCACGGTAACCCCTCCAGCATCTTATCTAGCAGGCTGGCAAGGATGAGTCACTGGCAGCCCTGGTCCTCTAAAAGCTCTCATTCAAACCCCAAAAGAGACTGTTTCAGATTGTCCTTTGAATGCCTCCTATAGGAACATTACGGAAAGAAAATTATAATTAGTTATAGGAGCAGTTTAACTAATTTTTGAAAGGAATTATATGACACAGTAAATGCCTGCATTAGCTTCAAGTCTTAAGTTCTGAGGCAGGAAGTTCTCTTTCTTCCAAAACAATTTTCAATCATTGTTTCATAGCTGATGAAACAGCTTGTGTGGATAAGAATGCCCTTGTCTTGCTAATTGCTTGACTTCGGCAGTTTTCTGCTCTAGCAACACTGGATATGTGAAACATCCTTTCCATTTTGCATGTTGAATATGGAGCTTCAATGAATATCGTATCTTTCATGTGCTGCGTGCTGAGAGGGAAGGAATGCATTCACCATCACATAAAGGTGTTTATGTTTTTTATAAAACTCCACTGTCTTCATGATTGTGCAAGCGCTGCTGAAAGATGAGAGACATCTCGCCCACGTAGCTGTCCGAAGCAGACGAGCTCACCCAAGTGGCGGATGCTTTGCAGTGTTTGAACAGGTACTACATGACCTGCCCTAATCTCTGTCTTGGGAAGGCTCGTCTGTTCCCCGGGTTTAATACCATGTAACTCAAAAGACATGCAGGAGGTCCCCTTTTCCTGAACTAGCCTAGCAAAGAGAACAGTGAAGGTTCTTCTGTCTCACCGTGCTGCCCTCCACATGGCTCGTTTCTCTGCCTCCAGAGCACGACGTTCTGCTGGAGAAAGCTCCTTCTCTTGACTACTCAGAAGCTCAGGACTCTGCATGCGCAATCGCTCCTGGTGCCGCCGTTCAGCTTTGGCTGTCCGCACAGGTGCCACTGGATCCCCTGCTCCAAGATATAATGGACTCAACCTGGGCAGAGACAGACACAGTGAGAGGCAGGCTGGCCTGATCCACCACAACTCTTATCTGCCTGTTTTCAAGACAAAAGGTGATGACCAACACCCTCCATCAACTGTTTAGTACCACATCCAAGGACATCATCTTGGGAGATGGAAGGACACATAACAGAGGTGAGTTTCTGTTAAGTTGGTTCTGATCACGGTTTTCCCTTCTCCACAAAATCCTTTTACACCCTATGTCTGCTAAAAAGCAAGATCCATCTGCTCCATCATCTGGCAATTCCTAGGCAAAGGACACTGCTGACCCACTTACCCAGACATGGAGCTGGTTCTCTGTTCGGGCTTGATTCCCTCTTCCAGGGAGTTTCTCTGTGAGCTGCTGTTCTCACTGACCTCCGAGGGCCTAGAGCAAAGGAAGCACATCAGCGAGCAGCTCCACACGCTGGCATGCCCAGGAAAGGTTCGGAACAGATCCAAGCCCCAGAAAACAACAACTAGTTCAGTTTGAGGACACAACCTTTAATGATTTTGCTCAACAGCTCCTTCTCCGTTGCTGCAGGACTCCTTTTTGATTTCATAAACGTTGATGCTCACTAACATCAGAACTAATCTCCTTCACTTGGAGGTCAGCCATGCTCCCTCCACTAACACCCCCCCCTTCAAATGTAACGCATCATGTTTGCTGACAAGTTCTTGCACAGTTCCAGCCTGGCTCTCTCCAGCTCTCATTACATGATGGGCAGCCTGGCTGCTTCCAGCTTTTTCCTTTGCTGATGTCACACACGCATGAACGTTACCAACGGATGACCTTCCCGGGTTGTAAGTGAACCACGTGTGGGCTACGGACGAACGCCCAGTGATGTCAAGCAGTGATTCCCAGCGTGGCCACTCTATGCACAACTGCTTGACACGCTGAGGATTCATGCTCACAACCAAACTGCTGTGAGCTTCAGATCAGCTGCGCTGCCATTACCGTCTGCCCTCCAGCTGTGCGCACGCAGACGCGGCGCGGTTTGATCCGCAGGGCACGCAGGTCGCACAAGCCTGTTTGCCACGGGTTAGGAACACGCGCACGGTTGCTGTGGCTCCGTTGGCAGTCAGAAAGTTTATCATGACTCTGAGCCCTTGTTTTTACTGCTCAAGTTTACTTCAATTAAATTTCTGATTCTGCGCTAGCACGACAAAAAAAATATTTCAAGAAACACAAATTCAGTCTATTCTACTGCGTTGCCTTTGTTCGAGCATAAGTAATAAGCACTGAAAGTTCCTGTTCTCTGACCTCCCACGTTTCAGTATGAAAACAGCAGGGGCAAGGGGGCCTTCACGTCAAACCAAGAGGCTGGTTTGCCTTTGGCTGCTGTCCTTCCTTGGAGCTGCCCTGTCGGCACAGGAGGCGGAACGTCACGGTGCATTCATTATGTGAGAAGTTCCTCAACAGAGACTGGACAGAAACAACGCAGAGAACTGAGCTTCAAAGGGACAGGACAAACACTTTCAGCCACTGAAAGACTGATGGTAGAAGTGTTTGTGATGAGAAGAATGTCCGTACCCAAGTCTCAGAAGAGAGCCAGGTAAGGACAGCTTCAGCTGCAACCTTAGTTTTATCTGAAGACTCATGGGAAGCCTTTTCTCGTTCCCCAGTTCTATGCCTAAGAATTAGAAAAACATCAAGGCAACTTGGAGAAGAAGTCCAGGAGAACCAGAAATCAAAAGCCCAAATAAACCGCAAGCCTAAGTTCAGCATCAGGGCTTATCTTGAATTAGCTGTCTCTAAAAATCAACATCTCTGCACACCCAAGTGCACAGCCGACGGGGCTATTTTTCCAGCTCTTTCTTTTGAGAAGAACTCACCCTTTTCTATGCTGAAGAAGAACTACTGCCCAGCCCTCTTCCCTGAAAACTACTGATACTGGGACACCTCCGATGCTTGTGGGTGGTACTGAGCTACCCAGTCGTGTCTTACCGCGTTGCTGGAGCCTGGACGCTCCTTCCATTTAGTCTCTCAATCTTGTACTCAACTCCTTCGATGATGACGCTGGACTGCGTGCTCCTCTCATGCACCTGCTTCACCATCTCGTCCTCTTCTGCCTCTTCCTCCAGCAAAAGGCTGCGTTTCTGCTGCAGTTTTCGAGCTGCCAAAATAAGACAGACTCATCTTATCCCACAACGCACTTGCTAAACCCCCATGAGGACACAACCTCCGGGCAGGTCCTTACGAGCTCAGCGTCCCTGCAGGCCTGCGCTATTTTAAGTCCGTACCCTCTTCATGGATGACTTTGTTTCTCTACTCCACTAATGGTTCAGATGTAACAAACTCTACACCCTTCCCTCAGTTCCTCCTCCCTTATTCACCAAACTTCCATTCCCGAACGCTCTACAGAATAGATTCCCAGCCGTTCATCATGCTGAGCGTACTCATCCTCAAACTGGAAGTTGTGTGCAGACTCTTCTGTCCCCTTTCCCAGGGTGGACATGCACCCTATGAATGTGCATACATAGAATCCCAGAACAGTTTGGGTTGAAAGGGACCTGAAAGACCAGCCAGTTCCCAACCCTCCTGCCATGGGCAGGGACACCTTCCACTACACCAGGTTGCTCAAAGCCCCATCCAGCCTGGCCTGGAACACTGCCAGGGACGGGGCAGCCACAGCTTCTCTGGGCAACCTGTGCCAGTGCCTCAGCACCCTCAGAGGGAAGAATTTCTTCCTCAGATCCCATCGAAATCTCCCCTCTCCCAGTTCAAAGCCATTGCCCCGTGTCCTGTCACTACATGCCCTTGTAAAAAGTCCCTCTCCATTGTGAAGTCTGATCTTCCCACTCGTCTCCTGGAGAGACCAAAGCCTGGAGAGCTGGTGACAGGCCTGCACGTGTGGTGGTGGGACAGGGGAACCATCAGGCAGCCGGACACACAGGCCACAAGAGGATCAGGGACCAAAGGGGCCAGGGCAGCAGGCTGCTCTCTGCAGGCAGCCAACTTCTTACGTTGGACTTGTGATTCTTTTGGCCACAGCGCATTGAAGGAACTCAAAATGACACGTTGCAATTTCTTTTGCTTCCTTCCTTCCTATCTGTTACGACCTTACTTTTGTCTTGAAATGTATTCATGTTCCTGAACAGCCTCGGAACAGAAATATAGGCGGGAAGGTGGGAAAGAGAAAACTAGCTATTTATAAATTCTACAACAATCTTTGCAAGCAAAAGAGTCACAGCTTCCAAACCCAGGAGTCCAATTCCAGTTGTATTTTCTTATGGAACAGGACAGGATTTCAACAGAAGCCCTTTTTTTCTAATTAACGTCATTCCTCATCACCTTTTAAAACAACTTTCAAGCAGAAGGAAATTACATCAAAAACTACGGCAGCGATTCTCGCTCCTGTTGCAAGCCCTGTGCAAAATCAGAGCAGCACCCTGAGCAGTGAAGGCTCTGCTGTCAGATACTGCGTGAGGATGCCATGGACAACCCCACGTTGCTGCACACCAGCCTGGGCAGCTTACAAAGAAACATCATCATTTATAGTAGCTTTTTGAAATTTTATTGACGTGTTTGCCAACGACGGGAAACCCTGACACCACGGCACTTCCACCAGTCCACACAGTAACGGTGGAGCATCCGCGAAACTCCTTCTCTTACCTCAAGCTACTACCAGGACTTATGAATAACCAGCCGCGGGCTTCTGGCAGTGCTGGACCTCTGGTGTGGGCGCTCTCTCGTGCCTCCCACTGAGGAAGGACTCGCTTAACAGGCCAAATGTCCTTGCACAGACTCTAACGTACCTTCCTCCTCTTTCATTTTCTTCAGGTCATCCTCTCCTACCAAGGAGACACGCTTGGGAGGCTTATCCATCTGCTGCTGCTTCACCTCGATTTCAAAGTACTTCTGCCTCTCGCGGAAGGATCTCTGCTCGGGGCTGTGCAGTCCTGCGGGGCTGTGGGCGGCCACCTGCGAGAGCCACAGCGGCACTGCCCAACCGCCCCGCGCCTGCCCGCCCCAGCCACGCGCTCCGCACCCTCCTCCTCCTCCTCCCCAGCCCTCCCCTGCGCGCCCACGCTGCCATCCTGCTCCGCATCCGCAGTCCGGACAGCTGGAGTCCTCTGTCAGCCCCATCCTCCTTCCAGCTCCCGCCACCAGAACTCACCTCCGGGGCAGTTTTGGGATTCTCTGTGCTGGTCTGACCCGGCAATTCCTGAGGATACAAAGAAACGGACACGTTCCAGAAAGAAGGTTTCCTGCCACCACTCGGGCCCTCCGGCCACGCGCCACCGACGCCACGCGAACAGCAGCAGCCCCGGCCACGAGCCCTCGGACGGGTTCACCAAACCGTCCCAGAATTAACACACGGCAATGCCGCTGCAGGCTTCACGGTCGTGAGTGACAGCGATTTACGTTAAATTAAGGGCTAAACAGGAACAGATGGTGACAAAAGTTTTCTATTTTAAAAGGGTAGAAACTGAAAAACGTGGGGAAACAGGTGAAGAACAGGAGCAGAGGGCTTAGCTTAAGACGGAGGCAGCTTACGCTTCCTTTAAATCAAACACGCATCTACTGAAATTTTCTTCTAAGAAGTGGAAATACCATCAGGAAAGAAATAAATCCATATCTACCAGAATAAATAACAGAATATTGGATGAGCAGAACTACAGGGGGCAGAAAAAGAAATCAATCCACAAAATTCATCTGTGAACCAGAAATCGGCAAAGATAAAATGAGAACTGTCAAAAAGTTATTAAAAATGTGTGGTTTTTAATGACACAAATGAAAAAGAACCACAAGAAGAGAGCAAGTAGACCATCTTCAACTTCATTCAAATGCAGTCAAGAAAAACCCAGAAAATTTTCATTTTGTATAAGTAAGGAGAAGGGCAGAAGGAAAAAAAAAAGGGCAAAATAACCTGTTTCTAGCTACGAAGAAAATATCTGGAAATAGAAATTCTTGCTGCTAACACAGAAGAAAACCTAAGAGCTCAACGCACTCATCTACAGGCCTGGCAGTGTTCCAGGCCAGGCTGGATGGGGCTTTGGGCAACCTGGTGTAGTGGAGGGTGTCCCTGCCCGTGGCAGGGGGTTGGAACTGGATGATCTTTAAGGTCCCTTCCAACCCAAACCATTCTGGGATTCTGTGATTCTGTGACAAGACAGTCACTGTTCAGCAGTTCTGAATGAAATGACTTGTGAAGCTGCAAGTCTGCCAAGCACAGATTTTTAATGGACTTGTTCAATTAGGTGGCAGTTCATGTCTAAAAAATAGCTAATATCTTCTTAAAAAATCAAGAAGCAGGCAAAAATCATTTGAGCAGCAGAGCTATCAGTCTGTTCAGTTTCAACGGATGAACGTAATTAAACCAAAAATAAATAAAAAAGATTAAGCTGGAAGCAGTGAAGATCAATCCAATATCCTTCTTTGACAATATAAATAATTTTTGAAACAAAGGAAGTGCATAGATTTGTCTGAGACTTCAAAGATCAGTTTTGTGACCAACCTTGCTTAACATTTTCATTGCCAAACTGAACTCAGAAACCAGGACGGTGTGAGTAGGATTTGTGACTGGCAAGGACCAGAACACAGATTCAGAGAAATGCAGAGTTGTCCAAGGCCTCTGCAAATTATTTCGTTCATCCCACTCCACTGAATGGGGACAAGTATTGTCAAAATTCAAAGTAGTCTGGAATATCATCCTGGAATGACAGGTTAATTTGAGGAGGATGAAAAGAATTTAATTTAATAGTGCAAAATACAAGGTGATCTACTTCAGGACAAGTAATTGTTTCTTAAACCATGACGCATCGGCTGGAGACTATGGAGATGGAGAAATCGTCTGTGTACAAGATACAATCTGGCTCACGAACTTAGGGCATCTGGTAGGTCACAGATGCCAACAGAGACAAGTTCCTCTTCCTTTTCATCCTAGGCTTAGCTAAAAACCTCCCTGAGCTTCTACTGACAGTCATCTGACTCTGAGTACATCAGTCCACAGTGCTAAAATGGCCAAAAATCAACCCTACAAACAGTCAAGAAAGACTTGTAAGCCATACTCATTTTCCGAACCAGATCAATCTGATGCCAGATCAGCACCAACACAGGACAGAGCAGACAGTGGGAGGACAGGATTATCTCAGGTACAACACATAGTTACTGTCACGAGTCACTGCAGAACAGCCATAGCTCCCAGTACAGCTGGATTATGGAAACGTTCGCCTGATCTATTGACGTGTAAGGAAAGGTATTGTCAATTAAGAGAAAGCAGAAAAGAAAGAAGGAAAAAACCAACACCACAGGAGAAAGAAATCTGTGAAATAGGATATCTCATTTACACCAAAGATGTGCCAGCAAGAATTCAGACAGGAAGAGGTGAAAAGGAAGCAGTCGGGTGACCAAGAGAGCAGAGGGTCTTTCCAAACGCAAGGTGTGAATGGGACGGCGTTTTGCCTCTTTAGTTCATAAATGAAGCGACAGTGCGACTGCCTGTAAGCAGGCAGCTCTGGAGATCCCGCACAACCGGGGCGCTGCCGTGCACGGACACGAGCTCCTCAGGAAGGACTGGCAGGGATGGCAGCACGGGTGATGCCCCAGCAGCTCGCCGAGCACAGCTCAGTGAGATGCCTTGGCAGAGCAAGGGCTGGCTGCACACGGGTCTGCCCGCACACGGCGCGCAGCCCGCAGGCCAGGGAGCAATCCTTCCTCCGTTACTGACACCAGCAGCGCGCCCAGTCTGGGGCTCCCCAGTACCGGAACGCCGCTAACAGCCTGCGGCACGTCAGGCAGAAGGCCATCACAACGACTTAGGGGGCTGGAGGACATGACATTTGAAAACAGGCTCAGGAGGCTGTGCTTGCTCAGCCTGGAAAAGAGGAGGCTGAGGAGAGAGGGATCTAATTCCCGTGATCACCTTCCCAGAGGAGGTTACGGAGCACAGGGTCAGGCTCAGGGGTGCGCTGCAGAAGGGTGAGAGGCAACAGACACAAGTTGCAGTAAAAGAAATTCTGATAAAACACATAGAAGCAGAGATGGTCATACACTGGAAGAGCCTGCCCACAGTGACCTCACAATCTCCGTTTCTGGAAATTTGGAACTCAAGAGGACCGGCCTGGGCAGCCGCATGTAACGTCCCAGGTCGCCCTGTTTGCATGGAGGACTGAGGCTGATGAGCTCCAGGGCCTCATCCGGCCTGAATGGCTCCACGATTCAAATACGTGGAGGGGAGAAGGAATAGTTCCAATTAAGTTAAAGCTCAAAATCTAATCAAAACGTCCTCAGAACAGGTTTAGTCTGGCCCTGAAGTTCAGAGTTTCTTTATACCAGAACAGCTCAGTTGTACCACAGCATCCTAACGACCAGGGAGAACAACAGCGACATGAAATTCAATGAGCTTCCAGGACCTCGTGTTCATGGACAGGACTCCGCAGGGTGACCATCCACAACACGGACAGACTCCAGCTTCCAAAGGGACCTCCTTTGTGCGTGTGCCCCTCCTTCACCACAGCTTTCTTTGGCAGTAATGGATCACCACCTCTGTCCTGTTCACACTTGCCTTGCTCACCTGCAATGCTCAACCTCCCGTTTGTACCAGTTTGCGGGACATCCCCCCAGCCAGCACCAGTTACCTGTGTCTCGAGCAGAGGGTGTGACAAGGGCACTGCTGCAAAGGTCTTGTACGCTTGCTTGACATTGAAGGGGATCTCGTCAGGAGACGGTGGTGAAGGTGGCTTTTGCTACAAGGACAAAGACAACCACAGATGTCACAGAACACCAAACGTGGGGCACACAGCACAACTGCCAGCTGCAGGGCGGAACACGTACAGGGACAGCTCCTGCAGCCTTGGGCAGGAACAGGAGCAGCACTGTGTACACGCCGTGTACCCAGCACACCTATCACGGCCCCGTTTTACTTCTTGGATGGTACAGATCCTCACTGACTTGACCAGAATTTTGTGACTGATCTCTTGGCCAAGGGGCCACATTGCTGTCACCGTGCTTAAAGATTTCCACCCAACCCAACTAGCATGTGCCTACTACACTCAGTGGGCTTTTGGGGCTGGGACAGGACATCCACACAGTTGTCTCTGACTCCTACTTAGGGCTGAGCAAGCCACATGCAGTTTATTAGAAAATTAACGATAAGCCCTGGCCTTATCTGGCATCTGACTAAAGGGTCCTTCATTATGGGAAGTCATCTATTAGTCTCATTCAATTTTTTTTTTTTCCAGTGGCTACTGTACTTCTGTTTATAAAACGACCAGTGCGTACCTCTGTGTACTGCACGGCTAATGGTGGCAGTCTCCTCAACCGAAGTGGCAGCCCCTTCAGGGATCTATGATCTGGAGAAGACCTGCCTTTGATCTCAAATTTCCCTTCACAGAATTCCACTTACTCAGAAACATCTGATAAGGTCCAAGAGGACCTTGCTTCTGCTTGTCACTTGTCTTTCCTGGTCTTTTCCTCACCTGTCTTCCCCATGACCCCTCCTGTCACATTCATTGAGGAAGAAGAGTTGGGACGATCTGCTCAAAGCATCACAGAAATGAAGGGGAGTAGGGGGAAAACAATACCACCACCTTCCTTTCCAGTAGGAAGCAAATTCCCTTTAGTTGCTTCACTCCTTCGATCGCTCTAGCTGCACTAACTCAGTTTCAGGTGTCTGTGTTTTTTCTTTGTGCTGGACTGAGGCTAAATTATGTTGTTCGATGATGTTCCCTTCTGCATAGGCTAAGGAACAGCGCGTCAAGATCAGAAGAGGTTGTGAATCTTGGCCAATTACAGGGACTATATAGAGCTCTTTGTCTGCAAATCAAGTCTCTTATTTGGTATCACATCGTATAAGCTTCAGTAAAAAGAGAAGGGCTATATTGCAGGTATGCAAGTCTTCTGTCGTGACAAAAGACCAAAATACCCAAATATTTCTCTCCCATCAGCACACAGCCTAGGGAATATGAATCTTTCAAAACCAATAATTTTGCAAATAATAAAATTTATTATCAGGAAGATGGTATTGGCTCTTACTCCAAGACGCAAAACATTGACAGACAAAGGTTCTGAAAGACTTACGCCCCAACGGAATGCAACACCTCATAAATAACGGTCTAACACTGTAACTGCTCTGTGGATTTCAGCCGCAACACAATTGTTTCAGCAACGCTAACATCTTGAATGGGTAAGTGAAGACACAAGGCAGGCTGGTGAGGCTCATCTACGTTAGAAAAATGAGTAAGATGGACTGACCGTGACTCTACATGTCAAGAGTATGGGTTCTTACCCAGGGCATCCAGACGGATGCATAAGCAAGACCAGTCTCAGCTAAGCCATGTGATGTTTAAATTGCAAAATCACCACTGGGAGAGTGTGTTCAGCCTCCCCACCACAAAAAGTGGCACTACAGCAGCCCAGGGCGGACAGGCACAGCTTAGCAAGAAGGAACTGCAGGCCACTTACAGAGTTCTGGATATTGACGCACAGCTCAGGTTGCTGGAAAGGATTGGGGCTGTCCCCGTCCTCCGAGTTATGCGAGGCAGTGTTTTGTCGCACGCGGGAAAGAGGCTGAATGACGCCTGGCTTGGTCTGCTTGTGTCAGTGCCACACGACAGGGGGAAAGGCAGAGGGAGGGGAGGGGGGTGGAGAGAGAGAGAGAGAGAGAAGAAAAATGAGCAGTTAGGGCAGCAAGACGTCTGTGCCATGCACGTGAGTAAGACAAATCCATGCATCTGAGCTCAATTCCGACTCCAGCTACCAGACTGGGAGGGAGCGCTACTGAAGCAAACACCAAACAATGCCTCTGGTGCAAGTACTTTGGACAGGCAAAGAGAATCAGATGAGTCAGGGTCATGATAGGACCAATGGGTTACAGAGAAAGCCAGGACACAAGGAAGACTTCGCCATACAATTAGCAGCTGCAAGGGCCAGAGGGGCACGGTGTGAGTATGTCAAAGCTTAGGGAACGTAAGCATCATGAACGGAAGATGCAGTTGGGAAACATCAGCCAGGAGAGGGTATTGGCAAAAGCCTGTGATGAAAATGAGCCAAGACCCAGCTAGGGCTCCAGTTAGAAATGCAGACATAAGAGCAGACACAGGAGTCTGAGATTTGGCCTAGATGTCATCACTGCTGGATGCTGTGTGGAAGTGAACAAAGCATCTAATACTAAAGACAGCAGAAGCAGCAACTGAGTATGCCAGCAAAAACTACAAGCTGCAAGGGTAAACAGGAATAAAAGCTGCAAAAAAACTTGCATCAGGTTTTCAAATTGACAATATTTAAGACTTGGTGCACTTGTACAAACGAGGTATAGTGGAGGGCTGAAGAAGACAGAGTAAGAGCCAATGGTGAGACTTGCAGGGCTGGAAGTGAGCACACGCAGAAGGAAGAGGCAAGCTTCATGTGCTGGAAAATGTGTGGGAATGCTACAGTGAGGTCTCATGGCAGATGTACTTACTGATTTACTGTCGTCCTGCGATGTAATGAAGTTAATGGAAGCCTGAAAACAGAAATACAGGCGTAAATTTGGAGACGGTAGAGGAGGCCTTTAGTTTACTCCGTTCTATACAAAAAGAAACAAAAAACCCCTCCCCTGCCCCACCACCCGCCCTGTACAGGGAAAAGCCCCCAGGTCCCACACTAAGCCCCACCGTACCTTCTTCTTCATGTGAGGAGCAGTCCGGAGCCCTCCCCCAGCAGCTTCTCCCAGTTCCTCTGCTATGTGGAAAGGCTCTCACAGCTCCTTCTGCACATGTCTGGGCAGGGACCCCCACCCTCCCCCTCTGCACTCCAGCTCAGCTGGTCCTGGCCCTGCTTTACATCCCCGGCCCTTGCACTTGCCACTGAGCTTCAGCAAAGCCATCAGCACTACAGCTGCTCTGCCAGAAGCGTTCACAGATGCCATCTCAGCCGCGGCGAGCAGGGAACAGCCCCTCGTGCTCGGCTGGCGGCCCCAGGGCTGCTCTCCGCAGCGAGCCCTCGTGCGCAGCAAGCCCACGAGCCGGGAACGCCGAGCCGGAGGAAGGGCGGCAGGGCAGCGGTGCCGGGTGAGAGCAGCACGGAGCAGCAGCACACACTGCACACCAACAGGCACTTACAAAGCGGGTCTCCCTGCCCGGCAGGTGAGCCGGCCGAGGGGCTGCGGGCGTCTGGAGAGGGGCAACACCAGGGAGGACCATCAGGGAAGAGAAGGGGAGAGAAAATGAAGAGACCGGGTTTTCTGCGTGAGAGGCTGAGACAAGCACCTTCCCCAGCACAGAGACTGCAGTGACCCAGAGTCGTCGGTGTCCCCACACAGCTCCTTGCTGCCTGCCGTGGAGAAAGCCCCTCTGCCCTCCTTGGCACGCACACACGGACCCACCACAAACACCTCCTCCCTCCCCTCGCCTGCTCCCTTCCCCACCAGAGCTTGCAGAACTCAAGGCCAGGCAAGACCATCACGATGCCAGCCTCAGCACAAAGGATTCAACTTCCCTCAAGAATTCTCCAAGAGCTCTGAAATAAGCCTATAAATTCTGGCTGGATTACAAGATGTCAAACCCAAAGAATTCACATTAAAAATAGCAGCAGAGAATTTGAGACGCAGTTCCTTGGAACTTCTACTCCAGAGCAACCACCTGAACATTTTGCCTAACATTCACTGTCCAGAGAGAACTAAATCTACCAGATACAGCCTTACCTGACACGCAGGAGACTGCTGCGGAAGGCTCTGATCCAAAAAGTACCATGTCATGTAAACGTGACAGAAAGCTCACGTACAGAACGCGGGGCTGAGAATGCCACTAGCAAGACAAATGGCTCAGCACTGCAGCACGAAGGCACCTTCAAGAACAACTGCCAGTCACTAATTTGTAACAGCCACAGACCAAGTAAGGAAAAAAGGCTATCAAAATGACACACAGACTTGATCTCAGAAATGAAAGCAGTGAGCAAACCTGCTGAAGACCTTAAAGGGCTAAAATAAAGGACGAAGTCATGAAATTGGCTCTAAATGCTTGAAGAAATGAATAGAATCTCTCATGGCATACTCACCTCTGAACAAAGAGATAAAAAGAGAAAACAAGAAAAAAGCTGTATAGATTATTCAGTACATTGCTCAAGCTACAGAGAATCCATGACACGAAAAACCCAAAGCGATAGAATAGACTACAAATTACAGCAAGTGCTACATAACAGAGAGTTTGAGACACCCAACTTCAAATTGGAAAGACAAACGCCTGCATCTGCAAAAATGCTGCTGAGGTGTTCTTAACTCCACAGAACACATTAGTGAGATCTTCTTGATCCCTCTCAGAGCCTACAGAGGAGACTGTGAACAGTTTCACCAGGAGAGGTTCACTGTCAGAGCAGTGACTGCTACCAGGAGACAAAAAGGTCACTGTTGCCAAAGCAACTGGATTGTGATAAACCACCAGACTCTAAAGACAAACAATTTATCATTGAGCAAGCCTATCCCCAGTTAGAAGAGCAGATGGCATCATAGCCAGAGGGTTGCTAGCTGCAAGGCCATTGGCACTGAGCTTCCAATGCCAAAACACTGATAAACAAAAACAAGGGCACTACAGAAGTTGCCTACGACAAGCAGTTTCTACTGTAGAATGAGTATGACCCCACCCCGTTCCTTCTAGATAGAAAGAACTCTACCTCAAAGAAAATTTGCACTTGTGAAAGGAAAACTTACAGACAAACAGCCCAAAATAAACATCCAATCAGCAATTAAGTACACATGTGCAGCTGGAACAGAAAGCATCGAAACAGCATTACTACAATGAACAGTATCTTCTAATCTTATCGTGCCCCGGCGGTCACTCAGTCTCAAAGGATCTAAGAACTGAGGGAGATGCAAGACAGGCCAAGGAAGCAACAGAAGATGGACTGACCTGTTCCTCACCACAGCTCCGCTGTCCTGTTTCACAGCTCCCAGCTACATGGTCCTGACCTTTCTCCAGAGTCAGTGTTAATTGTCACCTCACCCCAGGATGATGCAACCCATCTCACTCAACTGAACTAACCTGGCAGAAGTGCAGACAGCTTTTGTCCCGTTTGAGAAGTGAAATGACTCAGGTAAAGATCAGGTAAGTGCCAGAGCTAGTGAGATCAAACAGTGAAACTTGTGGAACCTACTGCCACAGGATGCAAAGTGAAATCCAAGGCTTGGCAAGATTTAAAAGAGAAGATCAGAGTTGATACGAGAAATAAGAATGGCTAGTGAGAACAGGCAGCGCTTACAAAAAATAATCAAAAATTACAAGAAATAAACTTCCCATTTCAGAGTGAAAGCTGGCCCCTAACCAGAGAGTTTTGGAAAATCATTCCCTAAGGGCAGGCTAACCTAGAACTGTCTGCTGTAGGATCCTTCAGCTTTCTTCAGCACAGCTGACGTGGGCTGCTGGCAGAGTCACAAACAGAACCAGGGACCTCTCTGTCAGACTGAGAAGCAATGGCTTACAGACCTGAGATGATCCTCCAAATCCTGACTTCTCCATTTCTTCTGGCAGATCAATTGCCAATTTAAATACTCTCTGTACAAGGTTGGTGAGGCCATTCCCAAAAAGACAGACAACTACCATTTTGCAGTCACTCTAAGTACTCCCCCTGCTCATTACCCTGAGAATTAAGTTACCCCTCAGAGTAGCAACTTTCCACTGGGTTTATGACTAGCTAATTACACTCCTGGGTCTCTGAGACATTTTGAAGGAGCAGAGTTCTTCCCCTGGTTCTCCAGTTGCCTTCTGTGATGGATACCCTCCATCTCAAAGGTATCGCTCTCAAGGATGGAAATTGTACTCAGCTTCCTCCGTCCTCCTGCCCTGGTGCTGTCCTGCCCTGTGAGCAGCCCCCCCTTCCCTTCCCAGTGCTGCCTGTCCTGGGGCAGTCTCACCTGCTGGTTACCAGGAGAATAGGGGGTTTCACGCCTGGAATTTCCTGTCCCAGACTCGCCGGCAGGAGCCTGAAAGAGAGAAGACAAAGCTAGATAGTTACTGCACAGCAGCAGCTCCACGCGTCTCCCTTAGCAGTGAGACCAGGAGGCAAGGGAGACCACGGCATCCAGCCCAAGGCCAGCTATGGGCCACCACGCTGCGCGAGAGCAGAGTTAGCACTGGGCCCAACAGCAGCTGTCACATGGCAGAAACTTGCAAAAAGCGCTAGAAACAGCAAGGGAATGACATTAAACATTGGAACTGAGACCATACCCAAATGTCCTGCAAGGTCAACTGAAGCAGGTTAAAGACTTCTGCCTTGTAAGACATCCCCAGGAATCCTCTCCCCTGATTTCTCTTTAGCCCTCAACAGACTGGGCCACAGTCTGGGCAAACGTCCTGCTGTACAGACACTGAGCAAAAAAAGCCACTCACAGCTGAAAGGAGACAAGATTCACCCCCAGCCACGTCCATTGCTGCTGGCCAACTGGTAAGACCTTTACAAGTAGCCCAGAGCACGGGAAAGACAGGGCTCTCACCCCTTCCGCAGGCACCTGGGACCACTGCTGCTCAGGATGAGCCAGCCTACAGCCAGCCCCAACAGCTACAACAGGAGAGCAGGGTCCCAGGAATTACCTGCAGCCTGCCTGCAGGGTCAAGGAGCACAATTTAGAAAGTATTTTAGACACCTAAAGATGGAAACAGGTCATTTGGGATTTAGAGAACTGGCTAAGCAAATCTATGGTTCCGCAATCATTAATACCACACCCATGCACTAATGAATCATGCTAATTTGATCCGAGTCAGCTTTGGGCAACTGTATTTCTACTGACGAAGCCAGGAGATGTGACCTGAAGCTTATATTTGAGCACAGAAAACATTTGATCCTTCTTAGCACTGTGATGACAGAGAACACGGCAGTACCAACTCATCTCCTTCCATGCCTCCACTGCAAGGAGTGTTCTTGTCACCCTGCTTCTGGCTACTACCACCCGAGTCCTCCCATGTGCCAGCACATGCAGTTCACCAGCCCACCACGGAAGGAACTGTTCTACAATGCTGTTTTCAGGGACTTCAGCTCCCTCACCCAGCTGACACACAACTGCTCCGGTTCTGGTGTCGGCACACGAGAGGAGAACACGCAGACAGGGGGAACTGATCCCTTTCGACAGCAACGTGGAATCAGATGAGCTCCAGCTAACCGTGACACCCACCTCCAGATGGACGACAGCTCACCTGGCCTGAGGTCAAAAAGGGACCCTTTCAAAAAGGGTCAGTGCTTTGTCACTGCTGCTTCTTTGTTCCCTTGCACTGCAAAGCTGGACGTCTATAATGTCCAAACCACAGCCTTTGACTTTTAATATACTGAGAGGTTACAGAGATTTAAATACATGCCTTGCTCTACGGTTATTCGTCTGCACATCTGTGAAAAACAAATTCTCACCAAGGAGCTAAGCTAAAAACATCTAAGGGAAAGTGTTGTTTCATTTTTTCTTCTGTGTGTGCGGGCTGTTTGTTTGCAGCCGTTCTGCTTCTCTGGCTCACGACCTCCCGAAAGGCTGAGACAGGAAAAGGGGAGAGTGGTGTGGTGCTCAGCTGGAACATCTTCAGGTCTAGTCCTTGCTCTGCCACAGGCTTCTGTGCAACAGTGAGCAAGTTAAACACAGCCTCCCCGCAGCTGGAGGCAAAGCCCTCCCCTGGAATCTGAGAGCCCGGGCACGCTGCAGCGTGCCCCCTCGAGGAACAGCCTGGCCCGGCTGAGATGAGCTGTGCCAGCTGCACAGCCTCTTCGTTCTCCGCCGCCTAAGAACGGCTGTCTGTCCAGGCCCAGACGCCTAAGTGGGACACCAAAACCCTTCTGCACCCCCTGCCGACTCCCCGCTCTCAAAGCGGAGCGGACGGGGATCCCCACCGCTCCCGGCCTGCGGCACACCCGGAGAGGCACCGGGGAGAGCCGCCTGGCATCACTGCCACCCCTCGCAGAGGGGCTGAGCAGCAGCATGCGGGCAACGACCGGGGTGCGTTAGTGGCTGGAGGACAATTCACCATTGGCAACCGACGGCCTCGGCACGCGCTGCTGGAGGAGTGCAAGTGTTAGGTGGGACGCCCCGTGGCGCCCGGGGAGCGGTGCCCGCGCGGGGTTTAGCAGGACGCCGGTGGCCTCGGCTGTGCGATGGCATGCGGCACGCCGAGGGGCTGCTTGCCTTGGAGTACAGGTTGGTCTTCAGCACTCCCCCCCGGCCGTAG